TAATTTAATATTAAAATTTAGCTTTTATCTTAAATTGAAATGAATTGACGTTTTATTATTAAACCTATAAAAGTCGCTTAAATAAATACATTAAAGGGCCATTATGCTTTGCCTCAATTCGCCGCACCACAACCTCAATTGATGCTATGTCGGCTTCAGCTATTTTTATGTTGCCTACTATTAGGCAGTTGAATTTTCAGCATGCGAGATGTATTTTAATCGCCATTGATTATAGTGAATATAGATGTTTGATGATCAATATTAAAAAAACACCAATAGTCTGCAAATGCTTATTTTTATTTTTTTTTTGTAACTCATCTGCAAGCTCTACGTATTCGGGCCAACAAAAGTACTGTTGCTTAGGGCTCAATGAGTTGATTTTCTGAGCCAAGCTGGAAGTCAAGTGGGGTCAGCTGTGCTGAAGATCTGAGATCTACTTCGGCGCTTAAGTGTTCTGAAGTGCTGGCGGTATTGAAATCGTTCGGTTCGTTTATTGAGTTGTTATACTTTTTATACTTTGGGCTGTTGCGCTTGGAGTGCGTTACAAATGATGTAGCGCGCACCTTAGTGGAGCAAACAAAAGCAATTAGACGCCGTCTTTTGACAGGCTGAATGAAATAGTTTGCGCTTGCGAGCCGGCGATCGAGTTGGAGATTGAGATTGAGATTGAGATGAAGGATTGAGGAATGAGGAATGCCAAAGAAACAGGCGTTTATCAACTGGCCACATCGGACAGGTCGATGTCGATGTGGATGTGGATGTGGATGTCTAACTGCCAATGAGCCGGGGGGGACTACTGTGGCTGAGCGCCGTACAAACAATGTGTGGGGAACTCGAGTGGGGATGGCAATACAAAGAGGTGTTAAAAAATTCTACTTTTTATGCTCTTAATATGCTTTGATGGACATTTGCGATATAATGAAAAATGTTTTTATGCCTCGAGGCATTGTTTTTTTTCTCTAAAAAGTTTATTTTAATTTTAACTGTTTTCTATCTCGTTGTTGCTGTTGTTGGTTTTGTTGTATTTATTCCCTTTGGCCCGCCCCACGCCTATTGTCTCAGTTGTTTGACAAGCGATGCGTACAAATCAAAGCAGAGCCAACGAGCTGGACAGCAGCGCGTCGCGCCACGAATCTCTGGCTCGTTTGATTAATAGCCGCACAATTGATATGTTAAGTGGTAAATTACGCCATTGGCACGCAAATGTGTCGGGCCTGTTCGGGATTGCTGTTTGTTTAAGGCGCCGCTAAGGGGACAGCCTACTGAACGATCTTGATCTCAAAGTGATTCAATTTTGAATGGAGAAAGTTGAACAGCAGCCGCACAATTATTCAATTACTTATGTCCAACAGGGCTCCACTGTGGGTGGAACTCGATTTCATTGAGCTTTTCTTTGACCAATGGAAACTCCATCGGCTAGAGCAGCTGCTGCTGCTGCTGCTGCTGCTTAAATTAAAGGCCATTAGTCCAATTTTAACACGCTATTGGGCAGCAGCAGCAACAGCAGCAACAACAACAACAACTGCTAACTACTTTACATTTTATGGCCTCATTTATATTATTTAATAAAAAAGCAAATCAAGTTGAAATCCATTAAAATCTCTTCCATATACATTCCCAATACAATGGGCAATGTCATTAAATTTTTGCCACGCCGTTAAAAATTAAAAGAAAAGAAAAAAAAAGTGGAAAAACAAAAACAAAAGCCAAAGCCGAATTCTCTGATGTGTTATAAAAATCATTTAAATGTCGCGATCGCCATAGAGTTTTATGGAAGCCCATGCGATCGATCTGCCCGCTGAATGCTCAACTAAAATGATTTAATTTCGAAACGTGTCGTGCACATTTGATGATCGATTTCTGTACAATCTGAACGGGTATCGATTGCCATTGTATTGATTTTATATATAAATTGGATATATATATACATATGTATATATTTAGACATGATATGGAATCGAATTTAGAAATGACACCTTTCGCAGACTGACGTAAATAAATTTTATTCTTCTTCTTTCCTATTGTTATTGTTAATTTAATATAAAGTTTTTACTATTAGCTGAACAAATTGTTTATTCTTTTCTTTTAATTTGTATATTCATTATTTTAAGCCAGTTTATTTTATTGTTATTGTTACGAATTTAATATGAAGTTTATGGTTTCAGCATAAGAATTTATTTTCTTTCTATATATATTAAATTT